TAAAGAATACCATTAAAATTTCCCACATGCAAAATGACTCGATTGTTAGAGCTCATAGGAGACATTCCAAGACTGGAAAACAAAGTACTAAAAGGTTCTGAATATGGTAATCTTTTTTGAATTTGACGAACCAATATAGCAAGAATTCTTAAATTTTGAATGAGGGTCACTAATGGGTGTATGATGGATCCCTGAGGTGCAAAAACTGCAATCAAATTCAGATTGCTGTCATTTCTAAGCCACTCGTCCGACAGCTGTTCAAATTATTCCAGTGACAGCCCATTATATTGTTAACAAGCGACAAATACATTTTGGTGGGATTTTTCCAATAAAAAAGTTATTCGTGATGGAATTCAAGCGTGGTAATGTGATTTCTCTATATTTGGCTGGAAAACAACAAGTGGCTATCGTTAGAGCACTAAAGCATTTAAATGTGAATAAATCTTTTGTGTCTCGTACCATCGCTCGTTACCGTGGTTACTGGTATCGTAGCCCGACGTTAAGGAAGTGGACGGCAGAAAACAGCACCATCAGCAGAAATGGTTCAAAATGTAAGGAAGCGATTTGATCGAAAACCCGTGTCGCAGTCGCCGAAAAATGCCTCGTGAGCTGAACATTTCGCAATCTTTCATTCGGCAAATATTGAAAAATGTTCTCGAGATAAAGCCATTGAAATTCCAAAAAGTGCAAGAACTTACACCGCAACAGAAAGAAAACAGACTCAAAAGAGCCTAAAGTGGTGAACTGCCGAATTTGATTTTCTCCGATGAGGAAACATTCTTTGTCCAGCAGTTGGTAAACAAACAAAATGATCGTGTTTACTTGCCAAAGAAGTCAGCTGAAAATGTGCACCTTCGGTTGGCCACCAGAACTCAAGCGCCGGCCATGGTGATGGTGTGGCCCGCCATAACAGAAATATTATAGCGAAAATATTCTGGAGGGTGTATTAAAGCCTTGGACACGCAAACATTTTGGCCGCTGACCTTGGACATTCAAACAGGACTCAGCACGCGCCACCCAAGAATGGTTACAAAATGAGATTCCTCGCTTCATTTCCCAGCACAATGGCCACTAAAATCTCCGAATACCAATCCGTTAGACTATTGTGTCTGGAGTATTTTGGAAAGCAATTGTCCATCACCTCAAGCAAGCGCTTCGCCGGGAATGGGCCAAGATACCGTCGAGCAACATTCGGCCGTTTGAAGGCCATAATTCGTACCAAAGGTGACCAATTCGAACAAATCTAAACTTATTCTAAAATTTGATGCTATTTCCGGCATTTTTTGCTTTCATTCATTAAAATTTAAAATAAAAAATGTAAAAATGATTGCATTTGACTTTGTTGTAGTTTTTTTATCTCACATACTAACATTACATAGCAAAGGGTTTTTGGTAGTTCGCACTATGAGTGTACGAAAAGTACTAAAATGTAATACATTTGGTACCATTTCGTATCATGTAAACTAAAAACTTGGCATTTGAAATGGGGATCAAGGTTGAGTAGTAGGTTCGATGTTAGGAGGTAGTTTTGGAAGTATGTATCCATGCATACGCAATGTACGAAACGGTTCTAAATTTGTTACATTTTTAATTTGGAGGAACGGATGGTTCTGGAATCCTGAAATTTGAAATTAAAATTTTTCTTGGAGTTTAGGTTTGGGATACAGAGGTAGCTTTCGAAATTTGTACTTATGTGCAAGAAAAGTACAAAATTGTACTAAATTTGGTTTAATTTCGACTTGGATAAACTGAACTGGAATCTTAAAAATTGGAAATAAAATTACTGTTGCATTGTAGGATAGATGTCTGTTGGAAGCTTTGGAAATTCGTACTTATGTGTACTAAATGGTACTAAATTTGGTTCAATTTAAATTTTGGGGGAAACGGTAGAGTTGGAATCTTGATATTTAAAAATAAGAATTACCTTGAATTGTATAAAGTAGAAAGCTATGGAAATTTGTACTTATGTGTACTAAATTTGGTACAAATTGGATTTGAGTGAACCTATAGGGCTGGAATCCTGAAATTTGGAACAAAGATTTCTATTGGTTTTTATGGAAATACGTACTCATGTGTACTAAATGGTATTAAATTTGGTACAATTTGTATTTGAGCGAACCGATAGGAAAATACTGAAATTTGAAATTGGGAGTACTGTGGGAGTGTAGTATTGGGATAAGCTTTGGAAATGTGTACTTATGTATACTAAATGGTACTAAATTTGGTAAACATTTAATTTAGGGTATACCGACAGAGCTGCAAATCTGACATTTGGAATGAGAATCGCTTATGTAGTGCAGGATAGATGTACCAAAAAGTTTTTGCATACTTGAACTTTAAGGTAACGAAAAGTTCTAAAATGCTACTAAAATAAATGTTAGTACAAACATTAGTACACTTCTAAAATGGTACCATTTGGTATTATGAGAACGGACATAGCTAAAAACTTGTATGAGAATCAAGGTTGGAAAGTAGAAAGCAGTTTGGTTTAGAGTGATCGGATAGACCTGGAATTTTGTATTGGGTTCTCTGTTTGTGGCGGGTTTGTGATAAAGAGGTGGTTTGGGAAATGTGTACAAAAAGTTCTAAAAAGTATTATATTTACAAAAGTTCGTATTGCGTGAACAGACAGTGCCTAAAATCTGAAATTTGAAAATTTCGTATTGGATGAAGGAATGGAGGTGGAATCTTGAAATTTGATATTGAGGTCTCTGTTGGTGTCTGTCTTTGGGAGAAGCAGGTGGTTTAAGATATGTGTACTATAATTTTACTAAATGGTACTAAATTTGATAATGAGATAAATTAAAGAGCTGAAATCCTAAAATTTGATAATAAGGTCACTGTTGATATCTGAGATCGAGATATCGAGATTGTTTTGAAAATTCGTACTATAAATCTTTGAAAAGTACTTATATTAACAAATTTGGTTTTGGGTGAAAGAATAGAGCTAAAAACGTTCAAATTTGATATGGTCGTCACTGTCGGTGTCTGTAATTGAGAGAAGGAGCTGGTTTTAAATATGCGTACTAAGTGGTACTAAATTTCGTAATGGGGGAAATTTCAGAGCTGAAATCCTGATACTTTTATGTTAAGGTCACTGTTGGAATCTGAGTTGGAGAGAAGGAGGATATTCTACACCACAAGGTGGTCAGGGTATTATGTCTTTGTGCATTTGTTTGTAACCGGCAAAAGGAAACGAGATAGACCCATAGTTCCTTTTGATGATCTTCATAGAATCACTTTCTGAGTTGATTTATGCATGTCAGTCCGTCTGTCCGTCCGTCCGTCCGTCTGTCCATGTATTCTTGTGAACAAAATGCAGGTCGCATTTATTATCCGATTGAGATGAAATTTTGCAAACAACATTTGTTTGGCCCAAGGACGAACCCTATTGAAATTGGAGATAATCGGTATAAATTTAGATATAGCTCCCATATATCTTCGTCCGATTTGCCTTTTATTGTGCACCAAACGTGTAATATCAGCCCGAATAGTATGGAATTTTGCACATACAACCAAATTAGGCCTGAAAATAAGTATGCCAAATTTTATCGAAATCGGTTCAGATATAGCTATAGCTCCCATATATATTGTTCATCCGATTTGTTATTTTTGTCCTCCGCAGCCGTAATATGCACTCTGTAACAACAATATTTGGGGAAATATATCAAATGCAGCTCAGAAATACCTTTGCTAAATTTTATCGAGATCGGTTCAGATTTGGATATAGCTCCCATATATAACTTCGTCCGATTTACCATTTATTGTGCTCCAAACGTCTAATATTTGTCCAAATGGGATGGAATTTGGCACATACGACCGAATTTAGTCTAGAAGGTAGTATGCCAAATTTGGTGAAGATCGGTTCAGATATAGTTATAGCTTCCATATATATTGTTCATCCGATTTATTGTATTTGTTACCCACAGCCGTAATATGCACTCCGTAACAACGATATTCAGGGAAATATATCAAATACAGCTCAGAAATATCTTTGCCAAATTTTATCGAGATCGGTTCAGATTTGGATATAGTTCCCATATATATTTTTATCCGATTTTAAATTAATTTCGCACCAAATTGGGAATACAAGTCCGAATTTAAAAGATACAAATGCTTCGGCATATTTAGTCCTTTGAATTTTAAATTATAATCATAGCGTGTATGATTGAATTCTCCCATAAAAACTTTTAATTATTAAGTGGAGCTCAACTAAATTAGCAAAGTGGTGTAAGGTATCATAAAATCGGCCCCGCCCGACTTTAGGACTTTCTTTACTGGTTTGGAAGTTGCCACAAAATTTGCCGTTGGGTGTTGGGGTAGAGATGGAATTCTCATATTTGGTATCGAGGTCACTATTGTGGTCTAGGGTGGAGGGAATAAGGTGTTTTCGAACAAGCGTAGTATAACTGCTCGAGAAGTATGGCAATAAATCAGGGATCGTGTATGATGTTTTGATTAAAACTTTTTTTTTCAAAATTTTGCACAGGTCTAACACGACCTGGTAAAATGAATCTAAGCTTTTACGGAGGACTTTTCGCTGATGAAGTTCCTCTAATAGATTCTCATAGTAGCACGATCTTCAAACGGTATTTTACTGATAAAATACCTTCGAACTTGTATTCCTCCCCACGTATCCATTATTGACATCAAACCCCTCAACATGTTGCTACAACAATGTTTCAATAGCATCTTTAAACACAATGAAAGTTTTTTATTTATGCTCATCTTTCATATTTCCTCTTCTCCACACAGTATCTCCGATTCAAGATTCGTAACAATAAAATGAAAATATGAAATATTCTCTTATTTCTCCATAGCACATATGTAAGAGTCAACTCTCAAAATACTACGCTCTTCGCTTGCTTTATTCGCCGCATTCGCCGGGCATTGATAAAACAAAAATGAAGCAAGGCGAATATAATTAACGTAGCTCGGCGATATTCGGCATTTATGTTAGCCAGTTTGTCGCATTTTTTTCATTGGCATCATCTTCTCCGGTAGTCAGTTTTGTAGCTCGTCGTATATAAACGTGCGTTAACGGCCACCGCTGAGCCATAAGACGCCTTCAAGTCTAGCTGGCTGTTACAAACGAGAGTAGATATTGAAGTTGTGTCAACAAAAACCAAAAACTATTGTGGATTATATTACAAAATTATTGAAATAATAAAAAACACGCGCGTAATACATTTTTGTGAAAATCGTTATTAAATAAGACCAACCAAAAAATATAACGGTTAACTTGCGTGTGTTTAATTAATATCCACAAATAACAAGAAAATAAAAATAAAAATTCAACAAATTATTTATAAGAAAATAATTGGTGAAATACACAAATAAACAGTGCAAATTTCTTAAATAAATAATTTTGTCTTATAAATAATCATACGTAAAGAAAACCCAAACATTAACAAAAAAAATAAAAATTACTAAGCCAAAAATTGTTTGTAATTATTTTTGAAAAATTAAAAGTAAAAAATAAGTGCCACATAAAATGTTGAAAATGAAAAATATAAATGCAAATTTATTACTGCAACTCTGTGTCCTGGCAATCAGCCTGAATACTGCCTTTGCCTGTCATGGCACTTTGTTGGGTAAGTTGTGATATGGATAATTGATGAAAAAAAAAATAAGAATTAAAAGGCATGGTTGTCGACTGCAACTTTGAAATTCAGTTTTGAAAAAAATAGAAACAAAAAGGAAGTACTTACCAAGAATTTAATTTAAATACTCCATGGCAAGCTGGTTTGCTAAAAAATAAAAAATTAAAAAAATATATAAATAAAATCTGAAAATATTAAAAAGAGAAGAAGAATTTGCAACTACACTATTAAAAAGAGTCCATAGACTAAACGGACAGAATGTTTTAAGTGCCTGAATAAAGAAATTTCTCAGAGCCTTTTCGTTATTTAATTCATTAATATTTAATTAGTAATAGTCCTTAAAAATTGTTGTGAAAAATTATTTATAATACAATAACAGGGAAAATACCTGATAATTGATAAAATTTACCAAAAGACTACGTACAATATTGATATCGCAAATAATTGTAAAGAGGACTCATAGAAAATTGCCATATCCTTCCTTGGAAGGTCAGAAATTCCCAAAAAAAAAAATTTATTTTTTTATTTTAAATATTTTTTTTTTTAATTCTTTAGAATTCTTATATATACAAAAATGAACTGTGTGATTTTAAAATATTGATATTTACTTAAATAGAATTAACTAAAAATAAATAATTAACACTTCTCTTATTTCATATTTTATAAGAATTATAATAATTTAAAATTTTGACCCTTCGTGGGGGAGATACTTGATAGGATGGTCCGATATTTTCTATTCTTGCATTTAACCTAAGTCTAATACAAATATTGGGATCCGCACAGTTTGAACAAAAATTGGATGATCCTTTCTTGTTCTATTAGGTAAATTGTTTTGACGTAAACGTAAAAGTAGACCGATATGGCCCATCTCTGAACTCAGCCACCTAAAAAACTGATTTAGAGAGTTTGTAAAAAAAGTAAAGAAAAAGGTATGAAAATATCCCCGATTTGACGCTCCAACAATTGGGGTTCAACATCTAAAATTACCGACACTTCTGTCTTTAAATATATCTCCAAAATTTCAAAACATGAAAATATACAACAGGCAATTTTTATACCCTTAACCATAGTATGGAGGGTAAATTAAGTTTGTCATTCCGTTTAAAACACCTCGAAATATACATTTCAGACCCCACAAAGTATATATATTTTTAATCAGCATAAAATTCTATGTTGGTTCAGCGATGTCCGTCCGTCTGTGGAAATCACTCTAGCTTCCGAGGACCATGTAGGTTCACGTTTTGTTATAGCCCCCCATATAACGGCACCTCCCGATATTCCCCCATGATTTTAGCTTGTTTCAAATTTGGTATTTGGAGTTCGTAATGGATACTACAGCCTATGACTGAAAATTGTCTGAGCAGGTCCACGTCTTCTTATAGCCCCCATATAACGGTACCACCCGATATTGGGTACTTTGATGATTTTTGTGACATTATTCATCGGAATACTACAGCCTATGACTGACTGGATACTACAGCCTATGACTGAAAATTCTCTGTGAAGGTCCACGTCTTCGTATAGCTTCCATATAACGGCACCTCCTGATGTTCGGTATTTTGATTAGTTCGTAATGGATGCTACAGCATATGACAGAAAATTGTATGCACAGGTCCACGTCTTCGTATAGCCCCCATATAATGATATCTCTCTATATTCGGTATTTTAAAGAATTTAGCTACATTATTTACCGATTTTTTCGCATTTGAGTATTGTAATAGCTTATGACAAAAGTTGCCTATGCAGGTCCACGTCGTCGTATAGACCCTAATATAACGGCTATATTTGTTTTTTTAAGATTTTAACAAAATTTTTTAATGAATTCTATTTTTTGAAAATTGCCAAATTCGTTCCAAATGGTGGAGGATACTCAAAGTTCGGCCCGACCGAACTTACATGAGCCCTTTCTCTCCCTGTGGATCAATGTTTTGGAATGAAAGAAAAGTTAACGTTAAAATTTAATTTTCAAAAAAATAGTGAATCCGCTTAGTAGAAAATATGATCGGAATTATTCGACAGATACCATCATGTATATTTATATATTCAGTATCATGGCCATGGAGGACATATGGGTGGATTTATGCCCAAGGTTTCAAGGCATTCCCTTTAGAACCACGATTGCCCATCTGGGAACTCTCGAAAGAAGTATTCGAAGATCATGTAGAAAGTCAAGACAGCCTCTCTTGTTTACTTCAAAATTTAGATTTTAAATGTCCAATTTCCTGATGTCCAAAACTGATAATTTACAGCACATACAATTAAAAAAAAAACAATTTTGAATTTTGAAATGTTTCCGATTGGGCTGCATGGTAATATCAAAGTGCGCATGCTAAAATTATGTAAATAATATTTTCGGACCGCAAATAAATTATAAAAACCCTTTTAGTTTTCTGATGGAGATAACTTCCTTTAAGGAGGAGATATTATTTATTTATTATTTGTTAAATAAAAATATAACTAAATTTTTTCAAAATTTATTGCACGATATAAAAAATTAACATACAAATTGTTGAAATTACAAAAAAATTTGCAAATATTTAAAAATACACCATAAATTAATGGCATTGTTTAAATCCATAAATCAAACAAAACGTTTTGTGCAAATATTTGGAGTGTTGTTTTTTTTCTTTTTGGAATTCTTAATTGCTCACTTACTTATCAACATAAATTATTACAATCTTTGGCTGGCAATCAGGAACGGAAATAAAACAGTTAATTTGCACATAAAGAAAAAAATTTGTTACAAATAAAATCATCATTTGCCAAAATACGAAATACAATTAAATGTTAATAAACTTTTAATGAAAGAAATTATAATATAAAAAAATAAATACATTAATCAAAATAAGGCAATTTATGATTTACTTCCTTTTCCCAGACTCAAACATCACACATCAAGACCATCAACTTTGCCTTAAACGCTATCAATCATCAGCGAACGAATACTTTTTTCTATTTGTTTACAGTATTCAGTTTTCATTTCGAGGAAAAATCATAAAAATCAAATGAATACAACAACAAAATATTCTAGTCATTATCAAGCTCATCAGCGGCAGCTTCATTGCAAAACTGTCGATAAATATTTATTCGCAACAAAATCCAAACAAAATGCTAACGCACTTTGAAATAATATTCAAATTTGTTTTTTTTTTGATTTTTGTGTTCAAAAAAATATCTTTTTTTTTTGATTTTGCAAATTTGTAATCAATATGAGATAGTCTATAAATATTTGAGTAGACAAAAAAGTTTTAAGAAAGATTTTTTTCAGGACTTACAATTTATTTTTTAGTTACTGAAATTGTTTTCATGGGAAAATCGAGGAGCTGTTCCAAAATTAGAATGAAAGAAAATATCAGTCACTCAATTACTGATTGATTTTTTTCTATAAGTAGATTTTGACTGAGTAGTATTTGACTGAATAGAGGATTGATTTTTTCTAAAAAAAATCCTCAATTGCTAAGGATAGTTTTTTGAGGATTGAGGAATCCTCAGTTATTGAGGATTTAGTTTTTCTTTAGAAAAAAATTCTCAGTTATTGTGAATTTCTTTTCTATAGAAACCAATCCTCAGTTATTAAAATCCAATTCTTTCCAAAAAAATCCATGAAATAAAGAATTATTTATTAAAAAGAAAATCCCATGGAATTGAGAAAGATTTTTCTACTGGCTAGATAGAGAGAGAGAGAGCTGGGATCTCCCTTAGCATTTTGGCATCAGTAATTACTTTACTAACCTCTAATTTTAACATGGACATGTAAGTACAAGTAAGTTCTCACTAAACTTGCTTCAGGTGATCGACACTTTGGTATTTTTTAGTGCCAACCTTGCTTTCCAAAATACTCCAGACACAATAGTCCACCGGATTGGTATCTGGAGATTTTGGTGGCTATTGTTCGCTGGAAATGAAGCAAGGAACCTAATTTTGTAACCAATTTTGGGTGGCACGGGCTGAGTGCGATGGTACTGAGTCCTATTGGAATGTCCAAGGTCTGCGGCCAAAATGTTTGCGTGCCCAAGACTTTAATACACCCTTCAGAATATTTTCGCGATAATATTCTGATGCCATGGTCGATTAATACGAGCGGGAAGAGACCATCGATGCTATGGCAGAATATTTTTTGAGATAACATTCGGCATTTATTCTGATGCCATGGTCGATTAATACGAGCCTGAAGAGACCATCGATGCTATGGCGGCCCACACCATCACCATGGCCGGCGCTTGAGTTCTGGTGGTCAACCGAAGGTGCACATTTTCAGCTGACCTCTTTGGCAAGTAAACACAATCATTTTGTTTGTTTACAAACTGCTAAACAACGAATGTTTTCTCATCGGAGAAAGCGATAGTTCACCACTTTCGACCAAGCGAAGCAACTCTTTAGCTCTTTTGAGTCTATTTTCTTTCCGTTGCGGTGTAAGTTCTTGCACTTTTTGGAATATCAATGGCTTTAGCTCGAACTCATTTTTCAATATTTGCCGAATGGAATATTGCTCACGAGCCATTTTTCGGCCACTGCGACGCGGGTTTCGATCAAGTAGCTTCTTTACTTTTCGAACCATTTCTGTTGATGTTGCTGTTTTCTTCCGTCCACCGCTACGCTTCCAGTACCACGTTAACTAGAGATGGTACGAGACACAAAAGATTTATACACATTTAAATGCTGGAGTTTTCTAACCATAGCTACTTGTGGTTTTCCAGCCAAATATAAAGAAATCACAGTATCACGCTTGAATTTCATCAAGAATAACTTTTTTTCTGGAAAATTCTCACCAAAATGCTTTTGTACGCTTGGAAAAAATATAGTCGGCTGTCACTGGAATAATTTTAACAGCTGTCGGACGAGTGGTTTAGAGCTGACAGCAGTCTGAAGTTGGTTGCAGTGTTTGCTTTTCATCTCACTCTGAATACTCTGGGAATTTTTTGCCATAGTTGTTTTTGTCACTGAAGAATTTTTCACAATAGAAACATAATCGTACGAGGCTAAAGTTTTTG